TTTTTAATTTAAAATAAAAAAATTAAAAAAAAACTTTTTCAAAAGGGAATAGTGTATCTGTGTTGTCCTTGGTCAGGTATATTCTAATTTCTTCTGAAATTATTAATTTTATAATAAATTCCTGGCAGTTTTTATTGAGCAGATATTCTTAATGCAGATAAGGAGCATCATGGGTAAGTTGTATGAAATACATTCTGAGAGTGAGTCACTAATTTGGCCTCTACCCACATGGGATTAGTAATGGTTTGATAGGAACTGAACTTTAGTGATCATAAACTTTTAATGCACTATTGAAATAGGAGGAGAGGTAAATGGTTCACTTAATCTCTTTATTAACAAGGTATCTCTCATTAAGATCTTTTACCAGCCAGAGGAGTGTCTGAGTGGCTCCCTTGGTTAAGCAGCTGACTTCAGCTCGGGTCATGATCCTGCAGGGTTATGGGTTTAAGCCTCATGTCTGGATCTGTGCTGACAGCTCAGAGCTTGGAGCCTTCTAGGTATTCTGTGTGTCCCTCTCTCTCTCTGCCTTTCCCCTGCTTGTGCTCTGTCTCTCTGAAAATAATAAATATTTTTAAAAAATTTTTTAAAGAACTTTACCAGCTAATATTTTTGTTAGACTAATAATAAGTACCTTTATTAGGAAAGTCTAAAGATGATAATGAGCTCTGGAAATATGAAGATTGTTGGGTTTTTCATTTTTGGTGGGCAGGGAGTATTTGATATCTTCCTTGATAAAAGTATTCCTTATTCAGTATTGGAGAACTAGGTTGATTGCTTACTAGAAAACTTCTTAAAGTTTAAAATAGAGAGTTTAGAACTTGGATTGAAGATTTGTGGTCTGAAGCACCTTGACCCAGGCTGAATAATGGCCTGGGATACTCATGTCCTAATCTCTGGAATCTGTGAATGTTACTTTCTATGACAAAAGGGACTTTGCACATGTGATTAAATTAAGGATATTGCGATGGGATGATTATTTTGGACAGTTTGGGTGGGTCTTAAATGTAATCCCAAGTCTCTTTTTAAGAGGGAGGTAGAGGGAGGTTTGACTACAGTAGAAGAGAAGGCAATGTCACCACAGAAGCAGAGATTGTTGTAATGTAGCCAAGAGACTTAATTCTTTTTTCCAGAGAGATTTAAGACTGTTGAAAGGCCAAGGAGAGCCAATCTCTAAAAACTGGAAAAAGCAAGGAATGGATTCTCCTCTGGATCCTCCAAAAAGAATCTGTCCATCTGATACCTGATTGAGCCGTAAGACTCATTTTGGATTTCTGGCAACAAGAACTGTAATACAATTAATTTGTATTCTTTTAAGCCACTATAGGTTTGTAGTAATTTGTCACAACAGCAACAGGAAACTCATACGGTATGCATACGCATCAACTAAACATGAGACAAGGCCCTAGACCTGTGGAATTCTGCTCCATAGCTTCGGCACCAAAAACAGTGCCTTTGTTGATGGAGGAAGGGAAAGAAGGAAAGGAGAGGGAGAGGGAGAAATCAGGTAATTCATATTTAAATGAATATTTTCAGCATGGTGTAGGTGTCTAGTTTCAGAATGAAGCGGAGAAAAACAGTAAGCTTGAAAACTTGAAGCCCGCCCATAACCAAATAGGTTCTTTAGTATTATTCTAGCACATCACTTTAAAAAATGGAACAGTAGGGATGTCTGGGTAGCTCAGTCAGTTAAGCATCTGACTCTTGATTTTGGTTCAGGTCTTGATCTCATGGTTCTGAGATCGAGCCCAGAGTCCTGAGCTCTGGTGCTGGATGTGGAGCCTGCTTACGATTCTCTCTCTCCCTCTGCCCCTCTCCTTCACCAGGTATCTTACTATTTTTGGCGCAGTTGTAAATGGGATTGTTTTCTAAGAAATTTCTCTTTCTGCTGCTTCTTTATTAGTGTATAAAAATGTGACAGATTTCTTTATATTGATCTTATATACTGCAATTTTACTGAATTCATTTATCAGTTCTAGTAGTTTTTTGGCGGTCTGTAGGGTTTTCTATGCAGAGCATCATATCGTCTGCAAACGGAATGTTTTACTTTCTTCTTATCAGCTTGGAAGCCTTTTACTTCTTTTTCTCATCTGATTGCTCTGGCTAGGACTTCCAGTACTATGTTAAATAAAAGTGGTGAGTGGACATCCTGTCTTGTTCCTGAATGATGCTAGCTGTAGTTTTTTCATATATGACCTTTTATTATGTTGAGATGTGTTCTCCCTAACCTACTTTGTTGAGAGTTTTTATCATCAATGCATATTATACTTCATCAAATATTTTTTCTGCATCTGATGAAATGACCATCTGGTTTTTATCCTTTCTCTTGTTAATGTGTTTCTGCCTCTTTTAGATGATTATCATATGAACACTCATTAATAATGTTTTAAAAACAACCACACAAAAAATTTGTCCATCTATGACCCCATTTCTTCATCATCAGAGTAAAAGTGCATTTCTGTACCTCCTGTTTCTTCTTCAGCTCACCTCATTCAGACTGTGGTTCCTACCTCATTGGTGAAATGACTCTCCCCAACATCATTAGCAATCTCCATCTTGCCAAATCAGTTCTCTGTAATCAGTTCTCTGTAAATCTCTTATCTTCTTGTATCTCAGCTCGGTCTCCCAGCAGGATTTGACAGTTACCAGCTTCTATGACTGGATTTCCTCCTGAGTGGCCCCTTTTCCTCCTGAACAAGACTGTTGAGCTGTCTCAGGGATCTCTCCTTTGCTGCCTTCTCTTACCCATCTTCGTCTTATCCCCAAGTGAGTTCGTTCAGTTTTGTGACTTGAAATACATCTGTAGGAGCACCTGAGTGGCTCAGTTGGCTAAGCGACTGAGTCATGATTTCATCTCAGGTCATGATCTCACAGGTTCATGAGTTCAAGCCCTGCTTGGGATTTTCTCTCTCTTTCTCTCTCTGTCTCTGTCTCTCTCTGTCCCTCCCCAGCTCGTGCATGCACACACACTCTTGATAGCTAGATAGCTAGATGGATAAAAATCAGTAGTTACATAGTCATGAAATGATTACAGCTGGCCAGCAAGTAAGGATCATAAGAGTGAGGAGTCATTTCCTGAGTTATATAGAACACCAGCAAGAGTATGTCCCATAAGCTACTTCAGTCTTTTAGTTACTTATCTGAAATATACTGATATTTTTCACTATTTCTGAGCAGGGATAGTCATTCATAATCTAATGATCATGTCCTTGGTACCCATGAAAAGAAGGGCCTCAATTCTTGTTTGTTGAGTTGACTGCTAACCTCCAAGGGTAGATTCTTTACAATACATGTGACGATGCAAACTGCTTCTGCTAAAATGTTATAGACATAAGAACGGGATCAGAAATTGCACATGCAGTGTCAGCTCAAGCTATGTTCCACATAGATTGAAAGCAGTCTCAAGGTGTAACATGTTCACATTGTTAAATGATAGTAAGATTATAAGGAGTTGTTTTTTCCTTTCTTTAACACTTTGCTGTTTGGGCAAATAGTCGTATGGGCGTGATTTCTGAGCACAACCTGAGAAGTGCCCAGCTCTTGGGTTACAGCCAGCGTGTGAGGCACAGACCCACAGCAGGCTGTCCTTGCCCAGACTTGTGATTGAATCTCTGGTAGCAATAGCTACTTTATCCCAGTACAGTCTAAGTTACTCCCCAAGGTTTTCAGACTGAGAACATTGGTTTGTTCATTCAACACATGCGTACTGAATGATTAATTTTCCCAGCCATGTTAATCACATGAAGCATAAAGTAAACCAAGTAGGCATGGCCCCTGCACTCATGGTTTCGGGTTTATTCGGGAAGAAAACCCATATTAAGCAACTAACACATTTCAAGCAATTTCGGCTTGTGATAACGGTTATGAGGGAAAGTATTAGATGCTATATGAATGAGCCCACAAGGCAGGGGAAAGTGTAATTTAGGTTGAGTTTCAGGTAAGGCGGAGACCCCAAAACTGAGAAGTCTTAGTCACATTGCATAAGAATATGCCAAATACAGGGCAGTGCATAACAAGGCCACGAGGCACAGAAGGGCATCGGAAGAGCTGACGGAGGCCGGTGTGGGACTGACGCAGCCAAGCAGGGACGCGGGCACAGAACGGAGAGGTAGGCAGGATGAGGTATGATCCTGTGAGCTGCACGTTGTTGGGAAAGCTGTACTGGGACCAAAACAAGTCAAAAGATGCTGAGAAGGAAGGGTGCTGCAGCCACCCCCAAGCCCTCGAACCTCCAGTAACATCAAAGCTCCTCACTTGGGCTCCACACAGACTCAGTGTTTGCTGTGACCTCACGGCCAAGAGGCCTGGTACTGGAGCCGGCGGTAACGGGGTGCCGTTAGTGTACAGCAGCCCCCAGCCTCTAGAGGGCCCCGGTCTCCCCACACCGAGCACACGAAGGCAGCAAACACATGCACGTTCTTAAGAAGGTGAGGGCACACCGGGCCCAGGGGTTTGGCCATCTAGTCCACGATGTCCCTTACGAGCTGTGATCTACAGTGTGGATTCTGTCTAATACCAAGGCGTGAGGTTTCTTCATTTGTAAACTGACAGTGAGTAAGCCTTTCAGTCAGCAATTTTTTTTTCTTTTGGTCAGTTGTTTCTATAATTAGAACAAATATCTCTTTAATTATTGCCAATAAAAGTTAATATGAAGACAAAGTGATTGGTAAGCCTGTTTTCCTAATCTGTGTGATGATATTCTAATGCATCTCATACTTCATTACTGTCAGCGTGTGGTTGCACTGCCAAACCTTCACCTTTGGTCATAGCTCATTACTGAAAACTAGCTATTATAGGAGACATGCCCTTGAGTCATATGCTTGTATTGTCATGGTGTTCTCTGATAAGTGATTCTTGAGCGTGCTTCATTTGCCATCTGTTAAAAATCACCGCAGAATGAAAACTAGTATATCTTGAAGCCCAAGGACACTTTATATCTTTCCTACATTTGGAATTCTGAGGAAGATTGTACTGAGCATTACTTATTTTTTCCTTCTTCCTAGATTCTTCTTAAGCCTTTGCCGAAAACTCTTTGACACAAGATGGCTGCAAATAAGCCCAAGGGTCAGAATTCTTTGGCCTTACACAAAGTCATCATGGTGGGCAGTGGTGGTGTGGGCAAGTCCGCTCTGACCCTGCAGTTCATGTATGATGAGGTAAGTGCCGATTTTATAATGGATGTCAAAATTTGGGCTTTCAGAGAGTATTTCTGTCGCTTAGTTTTGGTGCTATTTTGCATGTATTCCTTGAATCCTTGAAAACTACTAATCATTTTTTCCCATTTTTAAATTCAGAGCTAACATTTGTACACATGTTGATTTAACAAGTCAGTAATTCAAGATCCTTAAAAACCTTTAACAACAAGACTAGAAACAGTACCAATTTTTAAACAATCTAACTTTGGCTTTTTCATTTTTAAGTGTTTTAATGGAGGTTCCCACCTTGAATGAATAGAACAAGTAGATAAAGTACCCATTTGAGACTTAAAATTAACATACATAGGTGTCCTTTGATAACTTTAACAGTAATAATGATAATAATAATTTTTTAAGTTTTATTTATTTAATAATCCCTCACCCAACATGGGGCACCAACTCATGACCCAGAGATCAAGAGTCACATACACCTCTGACTCAGCCAGCCAGATGCCCCAATAATAAAATAATTTTAATAATAGTGGAAAAACGAATTGTAGTATTTGGCGTGGCATATACTCATCATTAGATAGGCAAAGGCTAGGTCCCTAAAATATCACTAGAAGGTTACAGATTTGCATGCCTATATTTATGTTGGACTTTATTTCCCTAGAGTTAAGACAACAATATAGTCTTTCCCCAGAGGACTCTTAATCAAGCCTAAATGATTTAAGAGTTGATAATCCAGTTTAAACATTTATCCTCAGTTCTTCCAACAGAAGCAGGGTTTTATGGTTATTCTTTCTTACTTAATCTTCATAACAATCCTGCCTGGTATGGTAGTACCCCCATTTTACAAGTGAGAAAACCCCAGGGAGGTTACCCAACCTGCCCAAGCAGAGTGACCTCTGATGAGTAACCAGACTCTCAGCCTGGTGTCCTGACAGCAGACCCCGCAGACCCTTACCACCCATGTCCCTCCTGTTGCCTGCTCCTCAGCATTCTGTCACACACAACATACGCCCATCAGCTATCTTGCTCGCTGGGGACGACAGTAGAAAATTTGGAAAGAGAGGAGATCGAAATGGTACTTTAAATGAAATTGCAGATTTATCTGTTCAGTTGGTTTTTCCTACTACTCATTTTAAAAACTCGTCTTTCAAACTAATCACTAACTCAGGCCCATTCTTGACAGTAAGGAGGAGGTCAATAGTAAGACTGTTCACGCGGCGCCTGAGTGGCTCTGTCGGTTAAGCATCCAACTCTTGATTTCGTCTCAGGTCATGATCTCACGGTTCGTGAGTCTGAGCCCCCATCTGGCTCTGCATTGACAGTGTGGTAGTGCCTGCCTGCGGTTCTCTCCCTCTCTCTCTGGCCCTCCCCCACTTCTGTGCACATGTTCTCTCTCTCTCTCTCTCAAAATAAATAAATAACAACATTTTAAAAGAAACATTTCATTTAGTAATCATAAATACTAATATTCACAACAGTATCTGATGTGCTATCTGAATATTTATATTTGATATTCATAAATATACAAATAAAAATTAGCACATAAATATGGTCAAATGTCCTATAGCCTTTATAGTTACAAATACACTGTGTTCATATTTTCAGTAATTATTTAGTGAGTGTCTACCATGTACCAGGCACTGTTCTAAGCTCTGGGGGATAGAGTAATGGGTAGAATAGTCCAAGTCCCTTCTCCCAGGGGCTAAATTCTACTAGAGGGATGTAGACATTGAGCAAATAAATAAGACAATATCAGATAATGAAAACACTCCTAGGAACTAATAAAAACCTGCAAAAGTGTGTACATATACATCCATACATGCCAACAATGATACAGTGATCAGAAATACCAAGGGGAGATTTACAGAGTTGAAGATAGATGTGGGAATGTAAAGTTGTTTAGTTGTACTATTATTTTTAAAAATCAGATGTTTAGAGAGAGATCTAAAAGTTCATGAAGAAATTTCACAGCTCTCAATGCTTACCTAAATGTTGACTTACTTTCAAGTTGTTTCCACAATTCCGGCATGAAAATTTATATTTAGAGTCAGATTAAAAGGATTTTTTAAATATATTTGATTAAATATATGTGTAATGGTTTTTGCAGGCATGATGTTTTAAGAAAAGGCACTGTTTCCAGGTTGTAAGCAGTCTAGACTTAATCATTCAAGCCTCACTTTTCACAAATGTCAAAGCCACCAAATTACCTAAAATGAAAAGTTAAATGAATGCAGCTTTTGCCAGCGGGGAAACCTGAATTAAGAGTACACGGGACCTCTCTGTACTATTTTGGCAGCTTCACGCGAATCTGTTTCATCTTTTGTAGTTTGTGGAGGACTACGAGCCTACCAAAGCGGACAGCTATCGGAAGAAGGTCGTGCTGGATGGGGAGGAAGTGCAGATCGATATCTTGGATACAGCCGGGCAGGAGGACTACGCTGCAATTAGAGACAACTACTTTCGGAGCGGGGAGGGTTTCCTGTGTGTCTTCTCCATTACAGAAATGGAATCCTTTGCAGCCACAGCCGACTTCAGGTGTGTACAGGAAGGCGTCCTCCCCAGAAACGGTGGACGGCCGGAGGCGGTTGCTTGCGAGGCTGTCCCTCTGCTGCCGTTGGTTGACTCCCCGTGTGCTGGCAGCGCGTGATCCCGCCCGCGGCGCACGGGCGCTCAGGCGTCCCGCGTACCTCGCACGCTCCTCCGGCCGTCCCCGTGCCGCTGTATTGGCGCGTGAGGTGGGGGCAGCCTCCGGCCCCAGAGTCTGTTAGGCGTCGCTGGAGCATTTCTCTTCGGATACAGCACTACTGCTGCCGGAATAGTTGGTGTTTGGATCACGTAACGGAGCTCTGACCAGATTCCAGGTCTTTCTGCATCAGTCACTGACTCTACGGCACCTGTGTGACGCTGAGCAGGCACGTTGCCATCCTCCTCACCACACAGATGCCTGACCGCGCACGCTGAGTATCGTGATAGAAACACTAATACCACAGAGTGGTACACTGGGTTGTGTTACACAGTGGTTTCTGTATCTCACTTACCATTTGCCTAATCAAACTCTGTCATCCGTTTGGTTTGCAGAGGGACAGTTGGGGAAGGGGAGAGGGCTTCTGAGAGAAATATGCCACGAGTAAGTTCTTGAGTAGCCTCAGTTACTACACGCGTAATCAAAAGTAGTCTTTAATTGTGTATTTTTTATTTCTGTGTTAAGTGTTTGCCTTGGTGGGAGAGACACAAAAGAAGAATGCGGTGAGGCCTCTCTTTTCCAGATTCACACAGCCTAGGTGGACAAGCTTGAAACCAAGAGCAGGGCAGTGAGAGTAGCAGCTGCGGGCAGTGATGGTTACAGGGACCCGGGAGAGGCCAGAAGCTCCGAGGCCTTCGGAGTAGACGAGCATGGAGGAGGAGAAGGGTTTCCACGGACAAGGAAAGAAGTCTCCAGCACTTGAGCAAAAACTGAACCTGGGCTTACGTGATGCCTCCTTTCTATGTGCACTTGAAAGTCTCAAGAACTTCAGGGAATCTCAAGAACAAAAAAGCATGTCATTGAGAAACTTCAAATGCACTTGTAATTTGTAAGATTCACCTCGTTGGTTTCCCTAAGAAAGGAGTTACGCGTGGGGTACAGCGTGGACGGTGGTGGGCCCTGCTACCTTACAGTCCTGGGAGACGTGCCGAGAGAGAGACGTCAGTGTGTACCCGCTCACGCAGCAAATGTTTGAGCGCTTATTAGGGAGCAAGTCTTGTTCTAGGTAATGGCACAAATGTGTCACCGTAGTTGCCAAAGCCAAGGTGATGTCTCCAGGGAATAGAGAGAGGAAGACTCCTGGGCTCTTGCTGTTCCAGGAAACAAGTGAATCATTCATTACTCTTCTGTCGTACCTCCAGTGTGATGCTTTTCCCGTAAATAAAAACAGTCCCGGTGACTCAGCAGCGACAGGAAAGGCATTTTTGAGACAGTCCGGCTGCTTGCGCTCCACCCGTTCTGACCCCAACCCCGCAGAGTGTAGCACTGGGGGCTGCGGCTCCCTTGCCTTGCGGGGCCTCTGGTCTCCAGGCCCGCGCCTCCGCTTGCTCAGCTGTGTGCGCAGGGTGCCCACCCCGGCTCCCAGAGCACACCCGCGGCACTTGTGGGATCAGCTTGATCTGTATGTCTTTTTCCTGACTAGGGGAGAGCAGGCCCCGTTCTTACCCGCCTGAGGATCCCGGGGCCCGTATTTGGCACCGTTCCTGGCATATATCATACACAGCGTGTTTAGTAAATGTTTGATAGAAATGTTAGAAAACAGGGGCGCCTGGGTGGCTTAGTCGGTTAAGCGTCCGACTTTCGCTTAGGTCATGATCTCGCAGTTTGTGGGTTCGAGCCCCGCGTCGGGCTCTGTGCTGACTGCCAGCTCAGAGCCTGGAGCCTGTTTTAGACTCTATGACTCCGTCTCTCTCTGACCCTCTCCTGCTCACACTCTCTCTCTCAATCTCTCTCTCTCCTAGAAATAAATAAAACGTTAAAAAAAATTACAAAAAAAAAGAAATGTTAGAAAACGTTCTTATTTTTTTTTCTAGTTCTCACTTTTCTTATGCCAAAAGTGAAAAAGTTGGACCAGTTAATAAAAGTACTTTCCTGTTCTAAAATGCTATAATAATAGCCTCTAAAACTCTGTTTAAAAGGAGCATCACATTAAGTAAAATGTGTAGGAAGGTTGTAGACATAGCAGTGCCTTTCGCTGACATCCAGGAAAGTAGCTAATTAAGCCAGCTAGTTAGCTCTCATGAATATTGTCTTCTCACCTCTGAACCCAGAAGGTCCAGGCTTTCCAACGCCACGTTTCTGATAGCATTAGTCACGCTGTATTTTCAGTAATGGTCTTCCTGAAGCATCTGACCTGGTAGCTTACGAGGTATTTATTAAGAAATAAATTAACGACTCTCTATACATACGACCAGAAGTACTAGAATCACAAATGCCAGAGTCTGTCTCTGGTGGTTAGTGAGATCAAGTGGTAAGTCAGGTGTTGTTAACATCTGAGTGTGAGGCTGTTGATCACAAAGGAAACTGGTGAAGGACATAACAGCAAATTTGTTGCCACCAGCACTAGAAAAAGATTTTGACTGGCCAGTATCTTCTTCACAGATACGTCATAAATTTAATAGTAGTAATGGTGAGCGTTGGCATGCTTTTTGCAGGAGATCGTGTGGATTGTAGACAACATCACAGCACGGTAGTACTCTACAGCCTAGCACGTGTCACCAAGTCACTGCCCGGCTGACACTGTAACTTCCTCAGAAGATGTTGGTGACAAACTAAGTACCACCACCAAGAGGGAGGTGACTGTGTGTGAGGTCTATAATCTGTTCATGGTAGAAAAATGAAGAATTAAAAAAAAAAAAAAACTGGGGGCACCTGGGTGGCTCAGTGAGTTAGCTTCTGGCTCTTGATTTTGGCTCGGGTCATGATCTCACGGTCCGTGGGACCGAGCCCTGCGTCAGGATCTGCACTGGCTGTGGAACCTGCTTAAGATTCTCTCTCTCCTTCTCTCTCTGTCCCTCCCTCTCTCTGTGTCTCTCTTTTTTCTCTCTCTCTCAAAAAAAGAAAGAAAAACTAGGAATTCAGATCCAAAGAGCTGCCTACAAACACTGAGTCTGTTAGAATATTCATGACGACATCAGAAATCAGGCGAATGAAGTAATACTAAACATAGGAGCACTGCCTAATCCTCACACCGCGCTCGCCACACACCAAACACTGCAGAGAATTAACGAGGTGAGCTAGATACTAGTGAGTCCCATGGGTTCTAAGGCACACGCTTTTCACATCTTCTCTTGAAATCAGAAGCACAGAATCTAAGAAGCACAAAATGGACAAATCTGAGGTCAAGGCTTGGTGAAGATTCATTCTCAGTCTCTCAAAATCTGTCTTATCACGATAGATCCTTGCAGAACCAGGTATACGCCTCTGATCTGTCATCCCAAGAATCCCTTTCATTTTCTCATTCTCTCTCAGTCTGAGTTATTTGTGCTTCTGTAGTTTCAACGTCTTTTAATAATTTCAAAGGCGAGGCCCTGGTAAGATAGCAAGATAGTGTTGATTTTATAAGAAAACCTCTTTCTCCAGCACAGTAATAATAATGATTAAGAAGAGCTAGCATTTACTGAATATTTACTACGTGCCAGGCACAACTCTAAGGACTTCTCATTTCGTCCTCACAACAACCTTATGAGGAAGGTATTATTGTTTCCCCATTTTACACATGGGGAACTGAGGCAAAGAAGTACTTTGCTCAGAGCCACATGACTAGGAAGGACAGAGAGCTGTGATACCTTTGGAACTGGGAACAGCATATAACCTCTCTGAATACAAAATTTGTACTCCAGAGCCAACTTCCAGAGATTTCTGGCATGTGTGGGGTTTTTAAAAACATTTAGTGGGGCCGTTGATATGATGTATTAAGAATGGCACTCTCTCCCTCTGTAATCTTCCTCCCCAAATCCCATGACCCCAATTTCATCATGAGAAAAACATCAGACAAATACGGGTTGAGAGATTTTCTACCAGTTAGCTGACCAGCATGTCTCAAAACTGTCCAGGTCATCAAAAACAAGGCAAGTCTAAGAGTCATGTGGAATCTAAGGCAATATGACAGCTAAATGTCATGTGGTTTCCTGGATGAGATCTTAGGACGGTAGGGAAACCCTAGGAACATCTGAATAAAATTGGGACTTGAGCTAATAATGATGGATTGAGACTGCTTCCTTAGCTGTGGTAAAGCTACCACACTATGTCAGGGGTTAACAGCAGGGGAAACGGGTGTAGACATACGGGAACTCTCTGCACTGGCTTCACAACTTTTCTGCAAATCTAAAACCATCCTTATGTTAAAAGTTTCTTTACAAAAACACTTTGGGAGGAAGTAGCATTTGACACTTTGATTTTGTACCTCCACTGCCATATTTATACTCTCTTCAGTATATTTTCCCTTCATCAGTGGAATGAGTATGTAATTCAAGTGGTTGGTGGTCGAATAAAGAAGTGCGGCTCACTCCATACCGCGCAGTGAATGAGCTAATTGTTACTGTGTAGACACATGCGCGCACACACACGCATGCGTGCACACACACAGGCTAATGGCAGATGGTACTAGTTATTTTGTTAGCATCACATGTGGGGGTAATATTAATATTTCTTTCTCATTTTCCTTAATCCAGGGAGCAGATTTTAAGAGTAAAAGAAGATGAGAATGTTCCATTTCTGCTGGTTGGTAACAAATCAGACTTAGAAGATAAAAGGCAGGTTTCTGTAGAAGAGGCGAAAACCAGAGCCGACCAGTGGAATGTCAACTACGTGGAAACATCTGCTAAAACTCGAGCTAATGTTGACAAGGTAAAGGGTGGCTCTCCTTACTATATCATCACGTTAACAATAAGTTCATTTGCTTTAACTCCACTCCATTTTGTCCAGAGATTTGTGAAACTCAAATAGTGATTTAGTATGTGCTGATTTTTATCTGCCCTGAATGCTCAAGTGCAGCATGTGCGGGATTTGTCACTTCACCTTGTCCTCGGGTTCCCAAGAGACATCAAAACATGAGAGAGCACAGCTGAGTGGCTTTTTTTTCTAGCACTAAGAGGATTTCTGACCCAAATCCCTGCCTGTGCTTAATTTTTCTTTTTTCTTACCCAGCTCAGCTGGATAATTTAGACATGTCCTCTGAGCTGATGCCTGCCTGGCTCTGTTTAACTTCTTGAAAGTAAAGGTGCCTCACAAGACAAAGGAGCCCCAGATAAGAGGGCTTTGAAATCTGTTACTGTACCTACACTCCCCACCCTCAACCTCTGTTTTCCTCTGCATAGAAAGGCGGATCCCCTGCCGCTTCTGTATTTTCTCCCTTCGTCCATATTGGCCCTTCCCTGAGTCCAGGCCAGGAACACCCTTGCCTTGTTTCTGGGAACCTGCCCAGGTGCGTTATTTCGTCCTGCTGCGAGACAAGACCTACGTCTTTAGTATTTAGGAAGACTGAGGCACCGGCTCCCTGAGCCCTGCACACGCCGCCTCTTTCAGCCTCCAAGCACCTCGGCTCTGCTGAGTGCCTCTTGGACTCTAATGGGCAGAAGTGTCTATGAAACCCGGTAAACATCGATCCCCGAGTCTTACCCCCAGAGGGTTTGGTCCATTTGCTGTGAGGTGGGACCTGAGAATTTGCATTTCTGCCACGCTCCCAGGTGGTACAGACTGGCCTCTTGAACCACACTTTGAGGAACACTGCTCTGGGTGGCTTTCAGTTTTAGTGAACTGGTCTGCTTGAGCCTATAGACTGATAGTACCAATACAGAAATCATTAGAATAAAAAAAAAAAAAATTAGAGATTTGAAAAAAAAAATTAGTCTTTCTGTTCATTTACTGTAGGTTTTTTTTTTTTTTTAAGTTTATTTATTTATGTTAGCATGCACAAGCAAGTAGAGGAGGGAGAGAGAATCCCAAGCAGGCTCTGCAGGATTAGTGCAGAGCCCAACACGGGGCTCAGACTCACAAACCATGAGGTCATGACTCGAGCCAAAGCCAAGAGTTGGTGCCCCCAGTTACTGTAGGTCTTAATGTCACTCTGCTGTCTTAAGGTGATTAGATTTTTTGTCACATGGTGAGATTCCTGTAGTTCCAAGAGATCTGTACAAAATGAGTATTAAAAGATTTTTACATAGTCCACCAGTTTTCTCTAAAGTTATGGCAAATGTATTTAAAGTACTAATGAAAATAGGTTTTAAAGTTCAGTGAGTTTGGGGTTTTGAAAGGCAGCATTGAGTATTAGTGTGTGTGTGTGTGTGTGTGTGTGTGTGTGTGTTTCGTTTCCTCCAAACTGATGAGCAGTTGTAGAACACACTCTAAAACCTGTTTAAACTAAGGACAGAGGGGATGAGAGGCGAGCAGTAACCACGCCAGCTACGGAGCGGTCATTATAACAGTCCCTGTGCTGTCATCTGCTGGCGTGATGCATGTATTTGCCGTACGCATGTATTTTCAAAAGAGGAAAGTTGAAAGTATAGGGCTGTTTCAGTTACTCTGGCTGTGTAACTAAATATACCCCAAAACTTACGGGAAAAAACAACCATTTATTATGCTCATGGGATCTCTGGGCCAAGGGTTTGGACAGGTCAGGAGTTGGCTTGTCTCTTCCACAGTGTCTCGTTCCTCAGCTGAAAAGCTTAAAATCTGGGAACTGGAAGCATCTTCACTTAGGTTCTTTTTTCTTTTTTCTTTTTTTTTAATATTTATTTATTTTTGAGAGAGACAGAGTGTGAATGGCGGGGGGCAGGGGGAGGGGAGCAGACAGAGCGGGAGACACAGAATCCGAAACAGCTCCAGGCTCTGAGCTGTCAGCACAGAGCCCGACATGGGGCTCGAACCCACAAACCTCGAGATCATGACCTGAGCCGAAGTTAGAAGCTTACCTGACTGAGGCACCCGGGCGTCCCTCCTGTTCACACACGCCTGATCCAGCCAGTTGACGCTGGCTGTCGTCCAGGGATGCCTCAGTTCCTTCCCATGTGCCCTTCTCCGTGTGTCCTGCTAAAGGCTGGGTTAGAGCAAGGGCCAGTGTCCCAAGAGAGTAAGAAACAGGCAGAAACCACGTCACCTTTTATGACCTAGCCATGGAAGTTGCTCAGCATTATTTGCATTTAGTTCTGTTGGCTGAAGTAGTCGCAAGTCCTAACCAGGTGCGGGAGGAAGGGGAACCGACTCCGCGTGCTGGTGGAGAATGGCAAGGTGCTGCAAGAGCACGTGGGGAGTACTGCCGTGGCTGGTTTGGGAAAATCTAGTCTGTGCTCAGGGGTCACCTCTCCAAAGCAAACTCACGTTAAATGTGGCTGTTAAAAACCACGGTATGGGGGTGGGGCAGGGGTGGGCGCCTGGGTGGCTCAGTCGAGCGTCAGACTCTTGATTTTGGCTCAGGTCATGATCTCGTGGTTCGTGGGATCAAGCCCCATGTTGGGATCCATGCTAAGTGTAGAGCCATCTTAAGATTCTGTGTTTTCCTTTGCCCCTCGCACCCCAGTTTGCGCTGGTGTGCGCTAGATAGAGAGACAGAAAGATAGAGAGAGATAGAGAGATAGATAGATAGATAGATAAGGCAGATAGCTAGATGAAAGAAAGAAAGAAGAGTGCAAGTTCATACGGAATACTGTAACTTCAGATACTGCTCACCCTGAGGAGTGACTGCCAGATAAAATACTTCAGTGACTAAATAAAAGTAACTTGCAGCAACTATTCCGTTTTTAGGATTAGGTTACACTTGGTTTCTTGCTGAGGAAATAATGTGACTAGGTAAAGGAGCTAATGCGTTGTGTCTGTAGAACCCAGGCACTGTGGCCAGCGCTGACCATTTATCTTTAACTCTGCAAGGCATACTCTTCTCGTGCTCACTTTTTAGATGGGGAAACAGGGTGGAAAGATTAAACGCCTGATTCAAGGTCAAAAGGCCTGTGATGGCATCTGCGGGCTCTGGGGGTAGCCAACTCTGGTGCCGTGTCATTTCCACACTGTTTTGGTCAGCACGATGGTTGGAGTACCTGTGATGTGTCCCAGGCCGTGTGTCGTCCGCTCCTGGAAGACTGGCGCAGATTGTTGGGTGGCGAGTGTTAATACTGGCACGTATCTTGTTTGTCACAGAAAACAAACACTAGCTTCCCTACGAGACTTAAGGTCTCAGGTCTTGTCCTCATCTAGAATCCAAATAGACCGTTGGGTTGAAGTTTCAAAGAGGCAGGTTTTGAATCCTCCCTGTGAAAAGGGGGGCCGTCGGAGTGGTTGAGCCAGGGCCTCACCTGTCGCAGAGGAGTCGCCCAGAGGACCCCTTGGCAGACCTGCTTGTGGACCCATCGGGTGCCAGGCTCATCTGATGACCTTGTTGGTAGCCTTCTAGCTAAATGCTCCATCTCTGTAAGTCATGACTCCAAGGTTGCTCTTAAGGAACGTCTTGGAGGAATGGAAACAGATTGAGCAAGTAGGTGTCAAAAAGGAGAGTGTGATTTATTACGTCACGAGAGCCAATTTTACGTTGGGGAAAGGATTTAGGAGAAATGTACTATGTTTTTAAGTTTTTTCATTAAAAGTTTTAATGAGAAAAACATAAACACATGAACACCTGCTTATTATATGAAGAAAAAATTTGTAATAAGGAGAAAAAGTGAGTCACTCTTCACCCAGATTCTACCCCCCTCCCTTCCTGTGAGGCAACCACTGCTGAGTCAGGCGTGTGTCTTTCCAGACATTTATCTACACTGGTAGCCTGGCATGTGCGAGCGAAGGGAAGGCTGTGTCTGCTTATTTTCCCCCTATGTAAATAGGGCCTTAGTAGTATTTATAGTGCATTTATATACATACAGTATATATATGTGACGTATGTAGAGTATTTCTGTGTATGTAGATCATGTATTTCTGTAATTTGCTTTGTAAATCTTAAGTGTAGTTCTTCATGCCATTACATATAGATATGCCACAGTCTCGTAAACATCTATAAAGTGTTTTCATAGTTGGGCTTTTTCATAATTCAGCCATTTTCCCATGAATGACATGCAGACTGTCTGCAGCATCTTCTGTCACAAACAATGCTGTCTGGTCACCCGTGCAAGGCGCGCTGTGAATTTTAATGACCAGGCGCCCTCCAGAAAGTGCTCTTACGCTTCCACCGAAAGCCTTCCCCCACTGCCTCCCCAGCACCAGTTACAGCAGCCTTTCAAAGTCACCAGGGAGATGAGTCCACCAGTGCTTTAATTTGTGTTTCTTGATTATTAATGAGCCCCGTTGTAGTTGATTCATGGGCCATTCTGTTTGTACATCTTCTGTGAACTCTGAAATCACTTTCTTCTGCTCACTGATCTTATGGCTTTATTGTTTTCATTCCTAAAGCTTACTTTATAGTAAAGACATTAACCTTTTGTCCATTTATATCTGTTGTGGATATTGTCTCTTAGTCCATACTGCATCTTCTAACTTGGCTGATTTTTGTCTTTTGCCATGGAAAAACACTAAAGATTATGTTGTGAAATCTTCCAGTGTTTTCCTTTGTGCCTTCTGGGTTCCGTGGCTTTCTTAGAAAAGCTCTCTCCGATCCTAAAGTTAAGAAAAAAATTTTTAAGTTTAAAAAAAAAACTTAACTATAATTGTTTCCCTTCTTTCTGTGTTGGCTTTTATAGTAGATCCATATTCTGTTTGAAAATGTAATATTGTCTAAGTGCTTAAAACGAAGAATGCAAAGGTTCAGATTTAAGCTGGTATCTGTTGGTGCTTTTCAAAAGAGAGATGTTTGTCGTTTCTAGGAACTTTTGTTTTTTCAGCTCTAAGTATTGTAAGCCAAGCATTCTAAGCCTGTTTGTATGTTTATCTAGTTTTTTCTTATTTTGACTTATGTGAGAAAAAGGATATCCTGTGATCTCTACTCTAGATTTAGAAGAGCCAAGTTTTGTATATACCAGGTTGCCCTAACATGGTAATAAGAGAAAGAAGGAGACAGGAGGAAAAGAAGAGGTGGGAGCAAGCGAGGAAGAGAAGTAATTTTGAAAGTGTCTGTGTTTAAAAAACAGTCAGAAACAGCCCTGTGCTTTGGGGATGGTCATTTGTCTGAGGCTGTCGGAGCCATCTCTTTATTCTTTTTTATTTTTATTTTTATTTTTACTTTAGAGGGAGAACGCACGCAAGTGGGGGAGAGGGACAGGGAGAGAGAGAGAATGAATCCTAAGCAGGCTTCACACTCACCACAGAGCCCTACACAGGGCTTGATCCCATGACTCTGGGATCATGACCTGCTCTGAAACCAAGAGTTGGACGCTCAGCCGACTGAGCCACCCAGGCGCCCCCACCAGCCCTTTATTCTTACCCCTAGTTAACCATGCCCTTGCATATGGCCGCTGGAGCAGAGCTTCCATTAGCTTTCGCTCATTATAGTAGCTGATGCAGACTTTATAGTTCCCCACGGCGTTTGCTAGTTAAGGTGACCTTGGCGGTTTCTAATAGGGATTCATTTGAAGTTCACCGCAGAGACTTATCTAAAATTAGAAATCGTACTCTCTTCTTTTTTTTATTTTTTTATTTTTTTAAAATTTATTTCTGAGAGAGAGAGAGAGAGGGAGAGGCAGCGTGAGCAGGGGAGACGCAGAATCTGAAACAGGCTCCAGGCTCCGAGCTGTCAGCACAGAGCCCGACACGGGGCTCGAACCCACGAACCGTGAGATCATGACCTGAGCCGAAGTCGGACGCCTAACCGACTGAGCCACCCGGGCACTCCGAAATCACACCTTCTTCTGAAGTCTATTCCATAGTGATAAACCCGCATCAGAGCACCGCAGGGGAGTCCTGGGATATTGCATGTGGCTAGTTTGGAAGCTCCCTGCCCCCCGGCCAACTGTGGACTCAGCACAGGGTTCTGAAATCTCCATCCCAGGGAAGTCGCGCCTGTGTCCCTTGGGGTCTGTGTCACCTGTGTGTTTCTGTCTCCTTTGTTCTCTGTGGATTTTCTTTGCTCAGTTTTTCCCTGTTTTAACCATTCTCACCCCTTCCTGTGTTGCTCCTGTGTCCATTTGACATAACCCATTAGTCTCTGATTTCCTTGCCTTCTTTTGTTTTAAACCGCTTCCTTGCTTTCTGACTGACTTTTTGTTTCTCAGATCGGGAATCAGCCGTTTTATCTGAGAAGCCCTGGTTCCCTTGGTAGGAAAGGAATGTAGCGGCCATAGCCGGGGCTCGTGTGCTTATTGTGTTGGGTTGTCACTGCTTCCTGTCCCTTCAGTGAAGGGCTGGGAAATAGGTGTTATTAAAAGAAAACAAATCCTGAGATCCTGCTGTTACTTCTAATTCAAGTTTAACATTCAGGATTTTTACCGCTTTTTTCTCCAACACTCAAAGTCTTGGTTCCTAACCTCCATTAACATATTTGCTCTCCGACCCTATCCCGCAGCATCTGCATGAAGTTGTTCAGAAGCCAATACCACTGTTACTGTTAACAACTAAGTTGTGAAGTGAAGTTTAGGATCTGTCTTGTTTTTATTTGTTGAGCTTTTGCTTTTATTTTCCTGTTGAGCTTCTCTTCTGAGACATACGTTCTGTATCATGTGTTTTAAAGTCTCTTGAGAGAGTTCTAGCCTCTGTATGATTATGTCACCAGCTCTACATCTTGTTAGTCTTATTTTAGTTTGGTTTTCAGTTTTTGTGATTGATTTCGTTTTTAATACGTAAAACGTTTACTTTTCCGAAACAGAAGTTGTATAACAAGATGTATTCAGAGACGCCTCACTGGTCCCTGTCCCCTGCTGCCTTCAGCCCGAAAGTAATAGTAGTGTTTGGTTTCTTTGCTTCTATTCCAAATGCAGGCAGATCCACTGAACTCCCCTTCTCCGCACGCACAGGCTCGCCCTCCCCCTGTGCCCTGCAGCACCCGGTGCTCTCAGTGAGCTTCTGTACAGAGCGGGCGGCGTGTGCGGAAAGGCACGCTGGCCACCACGTAACCTGCGCTGTTGCCTCACGGCCTTCAAGAGAGCGCAAGCCAGGCAGAATTTTTTAAATGTTTGTTTTGAGTTGAGTTCTTAATAAATCGGTGTGGTGTCACTTCTTACTTCGTGCTCTTGGGAAAAAAGAAAATAGAAGTAACAGCTGAATTTTTAAATTCAGAATTTGAGTGCAAACCATAAAAGTTAATCATCCATTCCTCATACACACACTCATAACAGTTTGTGTACAGTGTGAGCCCATATCCTTCTAGGCCCTTCTCTCTGCACTCAGACATTTGCTATTGATATTTAACTGTTGAGTTGTTACACTAGGAATTTTTAAATTATTATGCTAGTATCTCTCCTTTACCAGTTTCTAGGCATCAGACAGACTTGAGAAACTCTCAAATATGTTGTGCAACAAGGAAAGTTGTTTTCTTAGCCCCTGGAGTCAGAATGACAAAGGAAGCACTCATTTCCCTTACTTTGTTTCTAAAAATGGAGCTGAAGAAAAATAAGTTATTAAACATAAATTTTATTAAACATAATTGCGTTTAAAGATGAATCAGTAAGATACATTTACTAATTGTAAATTACTCAAACACAGCGCATTGAGTTTTGTCTTTGGAGCTATCATCGCTTGTAGTGCTTTGTCTTTTTTATCTTGAAAATTGGGATGGGAAGATCAGGTTATATTCTGTGAACATTTTTACCAAAAAGCATAACTCAGAAAATTTCCCAGTTTTCCCTGTGTGCTTGAAGGAGACTATAGTTTTGTACTTTCCTCACGTCCCAAACAGGAGTCCTTTTTTTTTAATGTGTATGTATTTATTTTGAGAGAGAGTATGCATGAGTGAGGGGGAGGGGCAGAGATGGGGAGAGAGGATCCCAAGCAGGCTCCACACTCAGCGCAAAGCCCAGAGCCCACCACGGGGCTTGATCCCACGACCACAAGATCGTGGCCTGAACCGGTATCAGGAGTCGGACTCTCAACCGACAGAGCCACCCAGGTGCCCCCCAAACAGAAGCTCTTAAGTCGTTGCTCTTAGTTTATTCCCAAGGCTTACTCCTGCGGCTGCAGGAAGTACCAAGCTCGTGTTATCTGGTGGCTGTATTTACCCTCTTTTCTTCTCTCTAGGTATTTTTTGACTTAATGAGGGAAATTCGAGCCAGAAAGATGGAAGACAGCAAAGAAAAGAATGGGAAAAAGAAGAGGAAAAGTTTAGCCAAGAGAATCAGAGAAAGATGCTGCATTTTATAATCGAAGCCCAAACTCCTTTCTTATCTTGACCATACTAATAAATGTAATTTATAAGCATTGCCATCGAAGGCTCGATTGACTGAAATTACTTTAACGATTTGGAAATTGTTATGTATCACTAAAAGCATGAATTGGAACTGCACTGAGAGTCAAATTCACTTAAAAAAAAAGAAATTAATGTGGCTTCGCCAAGAAGCAGAGTTCAACTTCTCTCATAATTGCCTCCATTTCTCGCGGTCCTGAATGTAGCGTGTGGGCTTGTGTGTCGCGGGCAGTCTTTCCGGAACTGTTAGTGCTGAGACTGGGTGGGAGGGACGGGAGGAAAGGCGCCTTCCTCTGGTTTATTATAAAGCTTCAATTTTATATCGTTTTAACATGTCTTGGTCTTCTACTGCCTTGAAAAATGACAATTGTGAACATGGTAGTTAAACTGTACCACGTTTTTTTTAACCATTGTTATGCACAATATAGAAGAGAAGTTATTGGCATGATTGTTGCATCTAGTTAAACTGAGAGTAATTCATCTGTGAACCTGCATCAGTTACCTGGTGATTAACGTAGAAAAGTGGTGTAAACTTGTACATGGAAATGTTGGAATATGCCTTAATTTAGAAACTGAAAAGTACCCGGTTGCGTCGTTCTGGGTGTACCCTCCGTGGTGCCGGGGGCCCGTTGCCCCACGTGCCCTGGGGAGGGGATATTCGCCTGGTATGGAGTACCACTTGTGTATCGAAGATTCTCGAAAAATAACTGTCTGCTAGGAGTCTGTCCAAACTTGAAATGTGTGCCATACTCTGGTTCTTGAAAGTCAGGGTCCAGAGAACCTTGATCGCTTCTCATTAACCGTAAAGTAGTTTGAGATGAAGGGCCAGCATATACTTGTAAGAGAATTTTAGACTGTGGGGATTCAGCACAGCTCTCTTTCGGTGAACCGCCTTTTTCTGTAAGATGCCGGCCCCCGGAACTCCTTTTTACAAGTGGCGAGCACGTGCTAAGCTGCCGGTCTCTCTGGAGCCGGGCACCGGAACGGCGTCATTAGTGCAATGAATTTTGCACTAGAACACACTTCGGGACGGTGTGCGTGCCTGCCACCCGCTCGTTTCTACATGTGCCCTTCGGAGGCGACAGTCTGGCTGCGGGAGAGTTACCTGGAGCCCGTGTTCATGGTGGAGAACGCTGGAGCCCCATTTTCCTGACATTAACATCAGGCAGCGGACCCCGCGTGCGGTGCCGAAGGCGTGTCTGGCATCTGCAGACCGACCACGAGCCCCTGTCGCCCTGGCGTGCCCTGCCCGCTGGAGGACTTACGGCCTGCTGGGTGCGGACCTGACGTCAATGGGAAAATGTACCTCCGCCAAGAGTTTGCTTATCTTCTTCGGAGCGGGGCTAAGACAGTTAGTTCGATAAAGTTGGTCTTTCCTTTTGTTCAGTCCTAATTTCAGCAAGTCAGAGGTGCATTCGGGCATCCCAGGTGACAGGTGTGTACGTGAAGTTAACAAAAATAGGCTTTTTAGGAACTCAGCTCTTTAGGTATTATTACATCTGACTTGTCATGTTAACTATTTGTCCTTAAAGGGTTTGAGATGTACATCTTTCATTTCGTATTCTTCGTAGGCTATGCCACGTGCAGAATTCAAGCTACCAACGGGACCCCGGCCCCGCGGGCCCGGCGGTCTCCACGCATTCTCCTCCCAGGCTTATTTAACCAGGGGTCCTAACCACTAACATTGTGACTTTGCTTTGAGACCTTTCCTCTCCTGGGTACTGAGGTGCTATGAAGCCAACTGACAAAGACGCGTCACATGTCTTAGGCTGATGCCACTACCCGATTGGTTTATTTGCAATTTGAGCCATTTAAAGACCAATAAACTTCCTTTTTTAAAATGCTTGTGGTGTTACTTGATGTCTACGATATATACAACACGTAAAATTCAGACTCACCGACCTGGGCATCTTCACCAGAGATTTTAAACCCGCCAGATCTCTCGAACTCTCAGTTTAGGGATTTCTTTTGTGTGAAGCCAGATTTCCTAGATAACAGCGTCATTGCTCAGGCTCGGTCAGGGCTCAGAAATGGGAGGATCCCCTGTGCACGATTACGTGGAAGGTACCCTCATGCGGTCATGAAAGTCACAATGTGCACGTTACTTCTAGAATACTGCTAAACTCTAAAATGACTGGGGGCCAGGTTTATACCCCCGGTCTAATCGGAATGATCCCCAGAGGCCTTTAAATTTCCAAATTGTGGCAGGAGTAACCATGCTATTAGCATTTCTTTCTCTCTTGCTTTCTCTCTCTCTCTTTCTTCCCTTTTTCTTTTTTCTCTCACTGATAAAGTAAAAATTCAGTTTATTCATCTGTTCGTGACAGTACACAAGAGGCCAAATGTTTGACATCATAGATTTCACTTCCAACTGCCTGGAATGTTAATTTCTTTGGCTGAAAGGACAGACTAGACACGAGAGGCAGACAGTGCTTAGGCGATGACATAAAGATGGCGAGGGGACAGTGCGAACGTCATCCTCACAGGGATGGGCACGAGGGCACTGTTAGTCACAGGCTATTTTCTAGAACTGTTGGCTGGAAACAAAGGAGCGCCACTGCTGGACGCTCCTGCTGCCCTGGGCCTCGGTCACGCCACCGCACAGACGCGGCACGCTTCCTGTTAGTCGCCCTTCCTGCCCTGCTGGATGCGGTAGTACAGGGACTTGCTGTACTTCCTCATGAATTCAGACGTAATTTTCACCAGGTCTGCAAGAGCCCATGATCCCAATCAGGACTTCATCGTGAGTCCCCTTGCCCTTCGTGGATTCGTACAGTCAGTCAGCAAAATACTGGAGCTTGTGCTGAATGCACTGGGCCAGGTTCAGGAAGGCGTCTTCCAGGTGTCCTTTGACTCCTTGATGCTCTCCAGCGTGTCATAAGCTCAGTAGCTCTTACACCTGTCAGATCCTTTCTGGAGGCCACACACTAGTCACTCATGATGCGGATCCACTCGCACACATCAGTTCCTTTCCTCTTCACTCCAGCATCATAGAGATCCTGGACATCTTGGTCAATTGGTTTATAATCCATGACAGAGCCGTCTTCTGTTCTACCCTTTTCGAGGGCAACCATCAGCTTGCGGAAGTCACCACTGTGTGTGTCACCACTGATGTGTCAGAAACTGCATCCTTCTCCGGATCAGTCATGCACATTTCCTTGTAGACCCTTAATTCCTTGAAGCTTCCGGTTGGTTCCTGAGCAGATAATCCCAGTGAGAGAGTCCCCGTCAGTCCCCAGCCCCTTCATGGCGGTTTTCAGCTCAGAAGCATCCCACTGAGCGGGTGGCCAGACAAGGCTGACTTCAGTGCCGATGCAAGTTCCGTTTTGGTCCTTCTCGGGTAGGCAAAGGCCATATCCTGTCTCTGGTAATGGTTGCGGTTCGTCGAAATGTGGACAGTGGTGACCTCATCCACACCTTTGGTCTCGATGGCCATCCCAGTGTGCAGAGGGTCACACTCGCCATGATAAGATTGGTGTACTCGTGGACAGACCCGTATGCACTTGGGAATGTGCAGTAATCGCCCTCCAAACTGAGCTTGCAGAGAATTTCATGGACAGTAGACATTTTCTTTTGTTTTATTTTTTTATTTTGAGAGAGAGAGCCAGTGGGGGAGGGGCGGGGGGAGAGAGAGAGAGAGAGAGAGAGAGAGAGAGAGAGAGAGAGAGAATCCCAAGCAGGCTCTGCACTGCCAGCGCAGATCCCAACTTGGGGTTCAACCTCAAAAACCGTGAGATCATGACCTGAGCCAAAATCAAGAGTCAGGTCGGAACGTCTGGGTGGCTCAGTCGGTTGTGCAGCTGACTTCAGCTCAGGTCGTGATCTCACGGTTCGTGGGTTCCAGCCCCGCAGCGGGCTCTGAGCTGACAGCTAGCTCACAGCCTGGAGCCTGCTTCAGATTCTGTGTCTCCCTCTCTCTCTGCCCCTCCCCTGCTCACGCTCTGCCTTTCAAAAATAAGTAAGCACTAAAAAATTTTTTTAAAAAAATCAAGAGTCGGGGCGCCCGGGTGGCTCAGTCGGTTAGGCGTCCGGCTTCAGCTCAGGTCATGATCTCACGGTTCGTGGGTTCGAGCCCCGCGTCGGGCTCTGTGCTGACAGCTAGCTCAGAGCCCGGAGCCTGTTTCAGATTCTGTGTCTCCCTCTCTCTCTGACCTTCCCCTGCTCACGCTGTCTCTCTCTCAGAAATAAACATTAAAAAAAAAAAAAAAATCAAGAGTCGTACATTAAGCCAACCAAGTGACCCAGGGGCCCTGCTTTTCTTAATTCATAAGCAGTGCCAGAATGAGCACATATAAATTATAACTGGCACAGTTTTAACCTCCCTGGACCCATGTTTAACACCAGTATACGGTATGATATTAAATATATCAAACAGAGGTTAGGTTAAGCTCTGGTCTTAAACTAAATCAGAGTGTCATGACTCAACATTCTGTGACAAAGACGTAAAACTGAATATTTGGCAACCATCAAAGCATTTGCCAAAAGTTCCTGAAAGTTTTCAAATTAATGCTTTTGATTTAACCCAGGGTTAGAAGTCTCCTTTAGCAAATTACTTTGGAAGGCAAGAGTGGCGGTCAATAGAGGTCTTTGTTCGTGCCTTTAATTTTCAGTAGATTTGTACCTCCCCACTGTGGGTGCTCCTGGGAATATAGCAGACGAAGGACAAACATGAATTAGGGACAATTACAGAGATTCACACAGAAGAAACTACTTCAGTGTCCCATGCAGGAGGAGAGAAAGTTATAAAAAACAAAAACAAAGAGTAGAGGTTAGGTCTCCATTCTCTGGGCTAGACCACCCACGTCTTAGGATTGTCAACATGTAAAATAATAATTACAATAACAAACCATGCATTCTATATGCAAGATACTGTATATATGTATTCATTTTTTAATTTTTTTAATGTTTAATACTTATTTTTGAGACAGAGAGAGACAGTGCGTGAGTGGGGGGGAGGCAGAGAGAGAGGGAGACACAGAATCTGAAGCAGCCTCCAGGCTCTGAGCTGTTAGCACAGGGCCTGATGCAGGCCTGGAACTCAACCACGAGGTCATGACCCGAGCCCAAGTCTGACACTCAACCGACCAAGCCACCCAAGCGCCCCGTATGTGTTTAAATTTAATGTTAACCCTATGAAGTAGGTGCTATCATTTACCCCTATTTTGCAAATGAAGAAACTGAGGCCAAAAGCAACAGAATAACTTACCCAGGGCCACTGAGTGAGCAACTATTAACTGGCATTGGGAGCAGAGTGGTCTGGCTCCATGCACAATGAGGGAGAAGCAGAGTGCAGATGAGAATTCACGGCGGGAGGCCCCAGACGTCCCCAAGGCCGCAGCCATGAAGGAGAGGCAGAGGCGAAGAGGCGTCCTGTGTGCACAGCCTGGCTGCTGGGAGAAAGACCATGTGCCCAGAGGGAAAAGCTTGTGCGGAGCTCAGCTGTGGAGTCAGGCCTTACAGCGCTTTTCCCATAACGTCAGGAAGGAGTCGGCCCGCCTCTGACAGGCAGGAAGTCTCCTCCCACATTTTCTTAAATGCAGAACAACTTTCCAGACCTTTGCCCCAGCAGCCCGGCACGTGGGCGGGCCGTCGTGGACAATGCTGGGCAGAAGCCTGGAGGCAGGAGGGAGGGAGCTCTGGCCACCCGTGTTCTCGATCTTCACAGAACACCGTTGCTGGGGATGAGGAGGGGCCGGGGGAGCACTGGACATCTGTTCGAGGGAGGCCATGAGGCCTGTGATAACTTGTGCGGTAGGAACCCCTCCCTAAGGAGAGAGAAAAAAAAAAGAGAAAAGACTTCAAGGTCACCTGGATATGCAACCAGGTGCCTACACCCACCCCACCCCCCCGGCCCCGTAAACTGAGACAACTTAATCAGACTGCATGTTTCTGTGTGGTGCCATATATGGGAGACGAAGAAATAGAAAATGTATAAAAAAAAAACCTATGCCATGTGATGTGGGCCACTTAGTTCTCTGGGTACGAACCCAACTGAGCGGTGCCGGCACGAATAAAGTTGCTTCCTGGAAAGAAAAGCCTCGGTGTGACGACTGTGCGAGAATCCTGCAACATTTGATGGCTGATGTGATAGAAGAACAAGAGTCCTTTTATCAAAAGCCCCAACAAAATCAAACAGCTGAAGTGTTAAGGTGCTTGCAAGCACCTAGCAGCAAATGCTCCAAAGGGCAGAGTGTTTGAAACAATCAAAAGAGGGGTGCCTGGGGGCCTCAGTCCGTCAAGCGCCAGGCTCTTGGTTCTGCTCAGGTATGATGTCACGGTTCGTGTGTTCGATCTCCGCACTGGGCTCCGTGCTGACAGTGCAGAGCCTGTTTGGGATTCTTTCTCCCCTCTCTCTTTCACTACGCGACTTGTGCTCTTTCTTTCTCAAAATAAACTTAAGGGAAAAAAAAGAAAGACAAGAAACAGCCAAAATGCAAGAGTGTGTTGGATTAGAAGGGAAAGGAACAGATAGATATGAAAGCCAACATCTCCTGGGCCCCAGCCGAAAGGGAGCTTGTCCATGGAGAGAGGATGAAGAATTTCCACCTGTAAAGTTGCATGTGGACTGATCTTTGCAAAGGCTGTCAGATTTGGTGGAAAGATACTTAGATGTATTTCCTAGAGTCCTGGATATTGGCTTAGAAGGAGTCATAGCCACAAGTCCCTCAGATAACAGGCCAGAAGTGAGAAGTAACTTGCCTAAAATCACGCAAGTCACGTAAGAACCAGAATTAGACCGCAGGTCTTGGTGTCTAATTCCTTGTGCGTGGGGGACGGGCACAGAGAGGGAGAGAGAGAATCTCAAGCAGGCTCTGCACTGTCAGTGGGGCTCGGTCCTACAAA